ATATAGCAAGAATTTAGATTAATCAGACCAGCTTTTGTGAATTCTAAACTGCAAAGAGAACGGATTATTTTCTGTATTCCTGCTGCATGAATACGTTAAAAAAATATAGGGGGTGGGTTGTGGGTTGCTTGAGGGGGTATTGTTTAAGGGTGCTTGGTAGACATGGCCATTTTATGATTATTTAAACCACAGGAAATAAAAGAGCGCTGCGTGAAAACATAAATTATTATTGCTAGAAAAATCATTATTTATATTTTAGGTGGATTTGTTGGGTAAATTTGACCACCCAACATCTTTAAGGAATTTAAGAAACAAAACAAAACAAACAAACGGAGGGAGCAAAATACCACATGAGGTATATAAAGTAAAACTTTATTGTTGAATTTCGAACAATTACCTTTTAGAAAAAAAAACTTGATTTTTTTTTTACTCTTCTGGTGAACAATTATATAATTAATTTCAGATATAATTAATAAGGAAGTATGTTCCCTGGCCCCACTGACTTTGCTATTTATATATGTTTATAGTATTTGATTACTCCCGGGGATGATGGTGTAAATTTTGTAAATTTTTAGCCCTTAATTTCATATTTTAGAGTTTAATGGAGTCAAGTTAAAAGGTTTACCCTGCAGAGAAGCAGACTCAAGATATGATTTGAAATTGCTCTAAAAGCAAAAAAAATAAAGAAACCTGCTTAGGGGTCTTTGTTTTGGCCCTAACAAAACGACGCTACTTTGAAATGTTCTGAAAACAGAGCGACAGACACTGGAAATTTAAACGTAGCCTAGAAACTGGTTCATCTTATCTGTATGTAACGTATACATAAAGAATTATAATTTAACGTACGATCAAACGCATCAGAGAGGCGGAGAAACCGACATCCCCGGGGACGTTTATAGCTCCGGAGCGCGATAATTCTAAGCTTTACAAATAAAAGTCGAAGCTGATCGCCTTATCTAATTGCAAGAAAATACGTACCAAAAACAAACAAACAAGCAAACAAAATCTGATGTGATCTAATTTCGCTACAAAAGTTTAACTCTACAGTATTACAGGGACTCCATCGGCGTTTGTCAATGTGATCTGAACATTTATAGGAGAGTTTGGCCTTAAGTATTTCAGGGGACAGATATATATGTAGAGTATCAATGCACGTGTAGAAAATGCGTGTTTTATTTGAAGCAAGTTGCTTTGCAGTTTTGCTTTGTGTAACAAATGTGATTTTGGGGGAGAATTTAATTACAGAGGAGTCCGATGGAATCGAGTTCTTGGATTGGTACAATACAGAGCTCTCAGAAGTGGAATATAACTACTGGACAGTACAGTGGAAATATTACACAAATATCACGGACTTCAATCAAAACAAAACGGTAAGTTTATATTTAATCTCAATTCATATAAAAAAGAAATAATTATATGATTTTATCCGCATATTACAAGTATTTTTTTTTTCATTTTTCAAAAGTTTAAAACATGGAAAATTCACGGAATGCATAATTATATTATGCAGTGAGTTTTTTTAATACTTCAAAATAGATCTAACAAGCAAAGAACATATTATCTTCAGCGTAAATAATTATTCAGTAGTCTGTGCAAACACTTTCAAATAATCCGGCTCTACTTGTCAAATCTTCACTTTTTTATACAGAGAATCACGATTATTTGAGGATAAGGAATGGGTATATTTTTGAGATACAGTGCTTTAAGTAGTTTCGGATTTTAAGCAGTTCCGGATAATTTTCGTTTAAAAATGAAAATTAAACACACAAAATGGATTCTGTCTTTTGTGAATTTTTGTATAAACGAAGCTGAATTTATTGTCTAAAATCTAGACAATAAAGCAAGATCATAAAGTCCGTCTCTCTTTCCATGTTAACAGCTTAATGTTTACTACCAGAAGCGCTTTATTTACGTTGATTAGAAAAATTACATGCTGTTTCTAAAGTTGTAGGTGTTTTTTGAAACTTTTTAAGGGTACCTTTGTAATTGGTGAAGTGTGGATAAGACACTGGTGTTTCTTCTTTCTCTAGTATTTTGGGTTTCCTGATACTACGAAGCATCTCCAAAATAATGAGCAATCTTCACAACATCTTAATTTAAGTAGTTCTGGATTTACTACGGACGATGTTTTCTCAAAGGAGTTGTACACCATACAATATTTTTAAAAAAAAAATAAAAAGGACAAAAACATAATTTAATTTTTCATTGAAATATTTGTAAATAATTAAATTGATTTCAAAAGGGCTGAGAAAGTGTATAGAAACATAAGTTCACTTCATGTTGCGATTAATTCATGTTTTCATTTTCAATAAATTTGCTTAAACATCATGTTTTCTCTTTTATATTTTTATTGATATAATGCATATATAAATTACATGTTAAGGTCTCATTGTAGGGAATTCTCTACAAATTGATCATTTATAATGAATTTTGATACGATTTCAATTTAATAATCCCGATAAATGGCTATAACCGGAACTACTTGAAATTTTCGAAACTGCTTGAATTCCCTTATATCTAATGTACGAGAGTTTTATAATATAGTGTAACATTTTTAACAAAATGCCTTTAGGGATTGAAAAGGTAGGTAAAGGACTATTTGATTCAGTTTAGAAATCAAGTTTAAGTCCTACGCAAACAATGCAGTAAGCGTTTTCCTGATTGCAATCCGGAACTACTTAAAACACTGTAACGTCAAGAAAATTCATTGTGTCCTAATTACGTCAACATATCTAAATTTTAAGTTGAGTTGTTTTCCCCAAAATCTTCCCATTACCCTTGATTTTCAAAAAGAGCAAGTATAATCGTAACAATAAAACAATAATTTAGACCATTAATCCCAATCAAGGGCCATAATTACAAATTCAGATGATGTAGATATTTGAAAACTCTAAATTACCAATATGCAACGTTTATACAGAAAATTCCATTTTTAAATGATAGGTATTTTGGAAAATTGCGTTCAAATTTATTAACAATTGTTAAGACCACCTAATTATAGATTTTCTAACCGATTTTCATTGTTTCGACCGCGTAATCTGTTCACCGGTAACAAATAGAAATCAAAAAGTATGTCAAAATATTATTGTTATTGTATGTAAGCAGTGCGAAATAGTGTGGAAAAAATTCATATACTTTTCAATTGTCTTCATTAATTTGTGCTTTCAGAATCTGTTTATTAATTATATATAATTTAATACTATTTTTTAAAATTTATTTTCTAATAATCGTAATTTTTCTTGAAGTTTTTTGGTTTCCTATAGTTGTCTTAGGCTACCAACTCTTATCTCACTTTGTTTTTCAGACCAGTCTAGATATTCAGCAGTCCAAATATTCGACAAACATTCCGATTCGGAAAAACAAAATATTAAAATACAATCTAGCGAAAACATATTAAAATGTTAAATGTAATTCTGCATTCCAAGTATTGATAAAAATAGCAAAGTGTTACAGTGCCAAGTTTAGAAAAATAATTAACCCATTTCATCTTTAAAAAGGGTAAAACACTCATCTTATCTGTACAAGGTGTACATACAATAAATTGTTTTACTATAATACAGGCAGAGGCAGATGTCTGGAGGTCAAAATTCATTCGAGAAGCAGCGAAAAATGCCTCCCACTTTGACTGGAAAAACTTCCAAAACGAGACTGTCAAACGGATGTTCTGGAAGATAACCAGAAATGTAGGACCGACAGCTCTCGGTGATCCGGAAAAAGTTAAACAGGTACTCGAAAAGACTACTTATCTCTCTCTGATAAATGAACAACAGAAAATTCCTATACTCATTTCAAAATGTAGTTTAGAAACTACAAATGGACTCAGACACCATATTTTTATTTTCTCTATTGTTTCAGTTAGGTAACGTTGAAGCCGAGATGAAGAAGATATATAGCGAGGCAGTTGTATGCAATGTCACGGGGAGCGACTGTATAGACATGGAATTCGGTCAGTTTGAAAGACTTTTAAAATAATATAATTAGTAATTTATCTAGTATGGAAATTAATGAAAAGCGCCGAAATACATTTGTTAAAAGTGTGTAACACTGGGACAACATTTCAGGGCTAACTCCAATCATGGCGGACAACAGGAACTACGACACTTTACTTCGGGCCTGGAAGGGGTGGAGGGACGCCAGCGGCAAACAGATAGGGGACCTATACACGGAGTACGTCACACTGCTGAACGAAGGGGTCAGGGAGGCACCCGGGGGTAAGAGTATACTGGTGTCTCATAATATCGCGGTACTTAATTCTTTTGCATAAAAAGTATAATTTCAGATTTTTAAATTTAACTTATATCAAACGATATCAATAATTCTAACTATAGCCTAACTTTTTAGAGTCAAATTATTTTCCAAGCTTGCATCGTTTAATTTATGTTATATTTTTAATACAGGAAGTCTTATTTACCTCCTAAGTTATAAAGTCTCATTTTATCGCGGTATGGGACAACATGGATGCTTTTAGCTGACATGAACATCAATTTTTATTTTTGAATTTTCTATGTAATTCTACATGAAAAAGTAAACAATTGTATCAACGTAACAGTTTTAAAAGATAAATTTTATCAAAATTTTTACGAGGTTATAAATTTAATGGTCTAAATATAATAAAACGGGACTGGAAATCTGTAAAATTACGTTTTATATGAATATTTTTTTTTCAAACGGATGCTCCATAATTCTTAATCATCAAAAAAGTAAACATTCAGACAACATACAGATTTCCATCAACAAAAAAGAATATAGGCTATGTATCCGAATTTTTGCAATATACTGCGATACAATGAAACCCGCGATATAATGAGTATCGAGTATACAACAAAGGTACTCGGTATAAACCAATTAATTTTACGCTAATAAACAATATATTACTTTTTCCTATCTTTAAAATCCAACCACAATATTCATAGTTGACTTGCTTTGCTGACAGACACCCTCTTGCCAGCTCTGTAAAGAGAGAGTATCACTTTTTTCTCTGTTTTAGATTACGCCGACATGGGGGAGTATTTGCGGGACTGGTACGAATCGTCCACGTTCCAGAGAGATCTGCAGGACCTTCTGAGACAGCTACAGCCCCTGTACTCCCAGCTCCACGCCTACGTCAGGGCCCGCCTACAGGAACAATACCCCCAGCAGCGCTTCCCCAAGTCCGGCCATATACCGGCACATATCCTCGGTAAGGTTGTCAGACTTATCAAGAAGATGCATGAATTACAATAATGTAATATATGCTGGATAAAGCTGGCTGACATATTGAAGCGTAGTGTAAATATATCCTGGATAAAGGTGACTGACATATTGAATCTAGTGTAAACATATCCTGGATAATGCTGACTGACATATTGAATCTAATGTAAACATATCCTGGATAATGCTGATTGACATATTGAAGCCTAGTGTAAATATATCCTGGATAAACCTTACTGACATATTGTAGTCTAGTGTGAATATACCCTGGATAGAGCTGACTGACATATTGAATCCAATGTAAACATATCCTGGATAATGCTGACTGACATATTGAATCTAATGTTAACATACCCTGGATAAAACTGACTGACATATTGAATACTAATGTAAACATACCCTGGATAAAGCTGACTGACATATTGACTCTAATGTAAACATATCCTGGATAATGCTGACTGACATATTGAATCTATGTTAACATACCCTGGATAAAGCTGACTGACATATTGAATCTAATGTAAACATACCCTGGATAAAGCTGACTGACATATTGAATACTAATGTAAACATACCCTGGATAAAGCTGACTGACATATTGAATCTAATGTAAACATATCCTGGATAATGCTGACTGACATATTGAATCTAATGTTAACATACCCTGGATAAAGCTGACTGACATATTGAATCTAATGTAAACATACCCTGGATAAAGCTGACTGACATATTGAATACTAATGTAAACATACCCTGGATAAAGCTGACTGACATATTGAATCTAATGTAAACATATCCTGGATAATGCTGACTGACATATTGAATCTAATGTTAACATACCCTGGATAAAGCTGACTGACATATTGAATCTAATGTAAACATATCCTGGATAATGCTGACTGACATATTGAATCTAATGTTAACATACCCTGGATAAAGCTGACTGACATATTGAATCTAATGTAAACATACCCTGGATAAAGCTGACTGACATATTGAATACTAATGTAAACATACCCTGGATAAAGCTGACTGACATATTGAATCTAATGTAAACATATCCTGGATAATGCTGACTGACATATTGAATCTAATGTTAACATACCCTGGATAAAGCTGACTGACACATTGAATCTAATGTAAACATACCCTGGATAATGCTGACTGACATATTGAATCTAATGTAAACATACCCTGGATAATGCTGACTGACATATTGAATCTAATGTAAACATACCCTGGATAATGCTGACTGACATATTGAATCTAATGTAAACATACCCTGGATAATGCTGACTGACATTTTGAATCTAATGTAAACATACCCTGGATAAAGCTGACTGACATATTGAATACTAATGTAAACATACCCTGGATAAAGCTAACTGACATATTGAAGCCTAATGTAATTTATATATCCTGGATAAAGTTGACTGACGTATTGTAGCCTTGTGTAAATATATTCTGGATAAAGTTGACTGACATATTGAAGCATAATGTAAACATATCCTGGATAAAGCTGACTGACATATTGAAGTGTTGTGTAAACATGTCATGGGAAAGCCGACCGACATATTGAAGTGATTAAAGCGTAGTATAAACATATCTTTGGAATGCGGAAGGACATATTAAAGCAAGCATAAACACATTTGGGGAAATCTGACTGATTTATGTAAGTGTAATGTAAACATATCTTAGAAATGCTGATCCTAGGAATGCTAAAAAAAACAAATAAGAGTGAGGTGTAAAAATATCCAGGGAATACTTACTGACATATTGAAACCTTGTATAAAGATATCCTGGGAAAACTGTTTGACTTAATGAAGAGTAGTATAACATATCCTGAGAAAATTGAATGACATATTGGAATGTGGTGTTAACATATCCAGGGAAATCTGACTGACATATAAATAATTAATATAAGGTCTTCAGACATTTTGAAAATGGCATAAACATATTAGTAAAGGCGTCTATAAACAAATCCTGGTGAAGCTCACAAAGCTCTATGTCCTATTGAAGCGTAGCATTAAAATGCACTAGGAAAAATCAGAGGAAATACTGAATCATATAGTAAACATATGCTTTGTTAAGATAATCTGACGTATTGAATGATATATGGAGATAACGAACAGTATTCAAGCTCAAAAGTCCATGTAACAATACAAAATAGGAGCAGAGCAAACACTGGCCTCCAAAACAAAAGAAGTGGGGTTAGGTGCCATAGAGAAGTAGGTATCCCCTGCCGACCGGTCACATTCGCCGTTTGCTCCTTGTCATGATTGGGAAATAACGGAAAAATCCGTCGGCAATTCAGTTGGCCTAACAATAAGTATGAAGTGAAGTGTAAACAGTGAGGCTTACCTAAGCACCATTACTTTTTTGGTGCTTTATGTTGTTACTCAGTAAATGAAGAAGTTTTTTTTTTGCAGAAACCTTTAACACTTGATATTGTGTTTTCAGGAAATATGTGGGCTCAAAACTGGGAAAACGTGTACCACATAGTTCAGCCTTATAAAGATAGACCGGAAATCGAGGTTACATCTTCACTCAAAAATCAGGTATACACGTAGAACTGACAGGGGAAATAGGTAAAATTTTGCAAGGTAATCGAAGGTTTAATTGACTCATTATTGATAGACATATGGCTTATGTATAACCAAATATTGTATTATTACTTAGAAGCTTCAGCAAGTCAAAGTCGGGATTTCTGTAATACATGCTCAAACTGTAATATTCAACGTTGGAAAAAAAATGATTTAAGAGAAACTTCAATTTATGATTGTTTCAAATATTCAAGGTTCAGGAAATTCTTAGGATAGGCCTCTTGTAGAATTCTCCTACATAGCTTTGATTTATTAAGGACAACTAGAATTGAAGATCAGTACATCTTTTTGTACAGAACTACAACGCGACAGAAATATTCAGGACAGCAGAACAGTTTTTCACCAGTCTGGGATGGCCCTCTCTGCCACACAGCTTTTGGGAAAAGTCAATGTTGTCAAAACCAACAGACGGCCGAAAAGTCGTGTGTCATCCGTCGGCATGGGATTTTGGCAACAGCAAAGACTTTAGGTATCAATCATTAAAAACGTTGTACTGCAACTCAATGAATTTTTAACGAGTTTGAACCGAGAAATAGGTCTGCTCCATAGACGTGTAAAAAAGCTAGAACTTGGATCCTGATAATTCTAACACCAGTTCCTAAGGTGTGAATCAATCCATATAATGTTACAATGTATTTGACATGCTATTTATCATTAGTTTTAGTTGCTGTGTAAGATAATTGCAAGATAAAATGCACATAGCATTAACGTTTTATAAAAAAAAATTGTCTGTGGTATAAAGAATTTAAACTTTATATTGGCCTTAGGAGTAAGTTCGTTTGTTAAACGAGCGCCATATTTGTTGCAAATAGTTTCCAAAAGCTGTATCAGGTCTAAATTTCTATAAATAGTCCCTGCAAAAATACTAGTAATTCATTCCTCTATCTTATATATGTTTGTAGGATAAAGATGTGTACCGCCATCACGATGCCTGAACTGATTGTAGTCCATCATGAGATGGGACACATTATGTATGACATGTTATATAAAGACCAGCACATCACGTTCAGGGAAGGGGCAAACCCGGGTAAACAGAAATATACAGTTTTATAGCATTTACTCATAACGCCAATTCCTACGATTTAATCAATTTAAGAATTAATTAATTTAAATTTCTATTTATATTGTTCTTAAATGATCTAAGATTTAGCATGTTCTTTTGTAAATATTTTTTGTTTATCTGCTTATTTCTATATAAAATACATATCAATATGAATTCAAGCTAGTCCTTCTTCTATCCAAAATTAAAAATAATAAATAAGTCATAAAAAAATTATTATAAAGTAAGATTTAACTTTGTAATTCTCCCAGCGTTGAAAAATACATAGGCAGCTGTAAAAAAGAAATAGTGCAGCCAAAGTATATGTATGTCACTTGAAATTCATTAATGACGGTGATAGATAACTTGTAACGAGGAAACGCAAAAATTCTGCAGATGTTACATCTCAGATAAGGACACCTATGTATACTTCGTTTAAGAACATGTGAACTTTAAAGTAAATATTGCCGTTCTAAATTCAACATAATCACACATACGTACTTCTAGATGTAAATCAGTTATATTATCAATATACATGAAGAGTAACTGCGTTTTCTTATAAAGTGAAAGGAAACAAGCATGATAAAGCAATAATACGACAGGTTTTACCATAAACAAACCCAGCAGCATTTCATTCAGTTAAAAATTCAATTTGTCCCCGTCTATTTGCAATATACTACCAAAGGGGAGTTGTCAAATATGAATCGTATTAGATTTGATATCGAAAAAAGTTGCATAAATAAAATTTATTTTGAAAGCTTGAGATACAATTTTCTTTGCGAAATATTGTGAATGGGACGTGCCTTATTTCTGTACAATGGAAATCAATCTGGACACAATGATGAATATACAATGTACACAATAATTTATAATTCCTTTTAACTTAATGATACAATATAGACAATTTGTTTTGAATTGTAAAGTATTTTACAGGTAGCAGAGGTTGTTGAGTTCATTTCAGATGCAGTGCTCACCAAAATATTTCTCTTATAGTATTTTAGAGAAAAATAAATTAAAGTTTTGTTGATATCTTAAGGTTTTCATGAAGCCATTGGAGATTTGATAGCTCTGTCGGTGTCAACGCCTTCTCATCTGAAGAAGATTGGCCTGCTGGACTGTGTACAGAACGACACAGGTGACAAAGAATAACCAGACAAACCAATAAAATATCTCCAAAATAAATAAAATATAAAACAGAAGAACCTTGTAGATAGGAGGAAGACTTAGTTTGAATGAAGCATCAGTGCAATAAGCTATGGAAATGGTTAACATTAGAAGTATTTTGTATCAGTCAATTATACATATTTTCTAATTCCATCTGTGGAAAGAATATTTATATTAAACGTTAAATTTAACTATAAAGGAACTATTCATTTAAAATAACTTAATTCAGATAAATGTTTAATAGAGAGCGATCTGAACTTTCTGATGGCACAAGCTCTCCGGAAGATAGCCTTCATTCCCTTTGGTTACCTGATTGACCAATGGCGATGGAGCGTGTTTAGCGGGAACACTACGGACTCTAACTACAACAAACACTGGTGGGACCTCAGGTCTGTATAGGAAACTCCATACAGTAATGAAGAGTAGCCTCCGTCTATGAACAAAAAATTCTAACCCCGCCTCTGATAATTGTTTGTGCAAGAAACATATAGTTATGGTCAGAGTTGCATAGGAAACTCCATGCGGTAGGGAAGAGTAGCCCCTGTCTATGAGAATGAAAAAAAATGTTTGAACAAGAAACACAGAAAATTATTGTTTTGGAAACCTTGTCTTTTTTTGGGATCAGCCTCAGAAGATCACAGTTGATATAATATGAAGCATCCACGGAATTTGTAATTTTTCGCGCACATATAACTGCCCTTTCCCTTAATTTACAGAAAGTTTTAATTTGAATTAAATATGATACGATACAGATTCCCTGTTCAAAGTTTCCACTAGTTCCGTTTTAAAGCTATGCGTTCAAGATGTAAGATTATCGCGTTACATGTATTCATTTTCAGATGCCAATATCAAGGAATTTACCCTCCTGTTGAGCGAAGCGAAGAAGACTTTGATCCTGGTGCTAAATACCATATCCCATCGGGTACCCCGTATATCAGGTAATATCATATCCCATCGGGTACGCCGTATATCAGGTAATATCATATCCCGTCGGGTACCCCGTTGATGAACTGAAAAAACTGAAATCCCATAAGTAGAAGATAAGGGTATGTTACTGCATAAGTAAGGGACGTTGAAGATTGAAATGATGAATTCTCGCGTTTATCATAAATCATTGTTGTTATATTACCATTAACATTTTTTTCGTGTAAAGTATCCAAGATTGAAACGAATGCGTCCGATTATTTCACTTATTTGAAGTAAATCAAATATTTACAGATAACTAACAATATCCGAGCTCAAAAGTCTATTTAACATTACAAAATAAGAGAGGAGCAAACACGGACCTCCAAAATATCAGAGAATGGATCAGGTGCCATGGAGGAGTGAGCATCCCCTAATGACCGGTCACAACCTCCGTGTGCTCCTTGTCGCGATCAGGAAACAACGGAAAATATCCTTGGACAACTCATGATCAGTGTGTAACCAATGGCCTAACAAGCAGTTTGAAGACAGTCCGTCAGCATTTGACTTAATGATAACTACTGAGTATTGTATTTGGTCCCACGGCAGTCATGATGAATACCATTAATCAAAGTTTGAATACCCACAGAGCCAAATATCCCCTGAGAAGAGTGGAAGTGAAAACCTTTACCATCCCCATAGGGACCCAGTCTAAGATTACGGATCATCTGTTTCAAGGTCAGATGCCTAAACGTCTCATTTTAGGTTTTGTGGAGAATGCGGCCTTTAACGGAGATAAAACTAAAAATCCCTTTCATTTCCAAAACTTTGGGATTAAGAAATTAGATGTCAGTATCAACGGAGAGACCATGAGTACTCGTTGTTTTGAACCTCATTTCAACGAGGATTTATATCTGAGATCCTATCTCAGTCTGTATCAAGCTCTGGGAAAATTAGGAGAAGATTGGGCTCCGGACATTACCCTAGAAGAGTATAAAAGCGGGTACACTCTATGGAGTTGGGATTTCACTAAAGATCAAGAGGCGCAATCGGATAAATTCCACATCATAGAAACAGGAAATCTGAGAGTAGAAGTGCAGTTTACCAACAATACGGCTACCACTATCAATTGTGTGGTGTATGCAGAATTCGATAACTTATTAGAAATTAACAAACAGAGAGAAGTGAGCATTGATAACTAAAAAATGGATACGGGACAATTGAGAGAAGTCTTATCCAGAGAATTCAAGAGTTCTTTTGGAGGCATGTATCCTGTAGATTTATTACCGGATCAATTAAGACCTGGAGAAAAAGCTGTCGTGGTCAATACGGATCCTCAAGATCGACCTGGAGAACATTGGGTGTGTCTGTATGTGAGCAATCCCGTGGTGGAATATTTCGATTCTTATGGATTTCCTCCCTTACAAAAAGAAATTCAAGATTTTATCCAGCGTCATGCTCAACAATGGACTTATAATCCGTATCGCTATCAAGACTGGAATACGGACGTGTGTGGACAATATTGCGTGTATTATTTACATCAAAGAGACAAGAAAAGAAAGAAAAGCGACGAGTGGCTATTCCCCTTTGACCAGAGTTCGGCTTTACAAAGGGACAGATATGTGGCGAATTGGTTTAAAAACACTTATCATAAATTACCTACGGGTCATGGACAAAAGTGTCAATGTTTTTATCAAAATGTATTGTAAATGCATTGTTTGTTGTTTGTTGGTTGTTTGTTGTTAATAAAAAATGAAAAAAAAAAATCTGTGTTCTTATTCTTTATGTGTAAGTGTTTTCAGAAAATCCAGTTTGAACTGGTAAGGCTAGACTGTCTCGACTGTGAAGCGTGACGTCATAATCTTGAATCGCTGCCAAGTATTACCTGTGTAGTCAGCAAAACGTAGAAAAAACGTATGTTTTTGCACACGGACCCCTGATTTGAATCGCTGCCAAGTATTTACCTGTGTAGTCAGCATAAAATAAAAAACGTAGGTAAAACGTGCACAGGCCCCGCCCCCCACAGCAGGTATATAAGTCGGAGCTGGGAGTACCCTGCACTCATTATTCAGCAAGCGAATTCCAAGACTATTAGAAGAAAAAGAGATGGAGATGGATAAAGATAAATTTGCCTTATTAGAAAAGAGAATGACGGAACCTATGGAGGGGGATCACGACGCTCCTCAAACAAAAAGAAGAATGGAGTTGAAAACCTTGGATCCGGAACCTAGGAACAAATATATACCCCTGCATGCGCCTATCAATGATCCTAAATGTCCAGACAGATGTTACAGGATAGCCATTAATTGGACTTTCATCATTAAAGATCCCAAAGAAAAAGAAGATATAGACATGTTTCTGAGCAACCAAGATGATTTCTACTTCGGTTACCAGTATTTGATTTTACAAAAGGAAAGACATCCCTGGACAGGAGAACTGCATCAAATCAGGGGATTCATTCAAATGAAAAGACCAGTAGGAGGACTGGATATCTGTAAACTTCATTGTACTGCCAGATTTGCTATGTCTCACAGTACCCCAGAATTGGAAAGTATGTTTTACAAGCAAGGAGGTGACTATGAAGAATATGGTGTTCTGAAACCGGAGGAGAGAAACAAGGAATTGGACCCCAGAGATTGGATACAATGGGAGATAGGAGCCTGGAAGAAACCTGAAGCTATTGCAGCTAGAGAAGCTATGAAGAAAAAGTTCTTTAAGTATGTAGATTACACAAGATTTTGAATAAAAAGATTGAACTGTTATTTATTGTTAGATCTCAATAAAAAGAAAAGAAAAAAAATTGTGGGTTTTTGTCATTTTTAAAAAATAGGTTATCTCCCTTTAACCATAGATTTTTTTTCAAAACACCAAACAAAAATGGTAAGGGTTTTTAAAGATTGGGGAAAAAAAAAGTATAAATAGGAAACATGGTACAAAACACACCTCAGTTGTGGACTAGCTTCATTATGGGGAACACCTCCAGTAAAGAAAAGAGTCAGAACACTAGATTAGAGGAAACTGAATGGTTACTTATACAGGAAGGAGGAAAAGATATCATACCACCTCCCTTGATGGTAGAACATCCTGCAGTATTTATACCACCTCCCTTGATGGAAGAACATCCTGTAGAATTTATACCTCAGGAGACAGGCAATGGTTATATTGCTTACTTAAAACAAGACAGAGGTAGAATCGCCAATAATTGGATATTTAATTTAACTGGGTGCCGACAGGAAGATGTAGATCAAATCATTGGAAGTGATTATCAATACTTGATCTTACAAAAAGAAAGGCATCCAGAAACTGGACAACTTCATCATGTGAGAGGATTCATTCAAATGAAAAACAGGGTTCAAGGGAGATACATGTACAGAAAGATTCATAAATTAACCTGTTTTGAGATGTCTTACAGCACCCCAGAATTGGAAAGAACCTTTTATAGACAAGGTGACTATGAAGAATATGGAGTTCTAAAACCTGATGTGAGAAACAAAGAATTAGTTCCAAGAGATTGTAGATTTACCTGAATAAAAAACTTGTTTTTAAAAAAAATTCTTGTTGTTGTTGTTCTGTAAAAACAAGGGTGTTTTAAAAAATAGATTCATTTTACATCATGAGTCTCCAGGAGATACAAGGTGATTTACTCCACTGTGAGGTAGAAGCTATTGTTCATCAATGTAATTGTTTAACTGTAAAAGCTCATGGATTGAGTCAAAGTATTGCAGAGAAATTCCCACAAGCTAATCTCTATGCCACTCGCAGACCTCTAGGGACTAGAAATTTAGCCGTAGAAGAAGATAGAGGAATTCCAGGCACTATTAAGGTGTTTCCCTCACAAACCCCTGTGGTCATTTGTTTACTAGCTCAATGGGATTATGGAAAAGCAAGTCACCGACCTAAAAGAATTTCCACTTATCAGGATACCCCACAAAACAGAGAGCAATGGTTTCAAACCTGTTTACAAGAAATGGGGGAAAGTTTACCTTACCAGACTTATGCTTTTCCTTACAAGATTGCTTGTGGACTAGCAGGAGGAAACTGGATTCATTATAGACATTATATTGAACAATTTGTACACACTTATGAAAAACATGTGTACATTCTTCATCATCATTAATTGTGTGTTTTCATGTGATGTAAAATAATAAAAAAAAGTACCTTTTTATCTGTCATACTTTAAAGTCTGTTTAAAACAGGAGGAGGTCCACCGCAATCCCCATGCACTCATAAGCAGATCTCTGGGGGGAGGCAGTAGAAACACGCAAGTAGTTTTTTTCTTTTTCCCCTGTGATATAATGTCAAATATTTAATGGAAAATTCAGAAATTCATCAGCACTTAAAGATAAAAAAAACTTGCTATCTTTATAGTATTGATTTTCCATTATCAGATTTATTTTTATCCATTTTTAAAAAAATATAAAACATTTGAAATAATTATCTTACTAATAATAATGAAAATAAATTAAAATGATATCTCATTGAAACTTTTTAGATTCAAGTTTTTGTTTTTTATCATAATTGATTCACTGTATATTTCCCCAAAGGAAGACCAGCACCCAGGCTTCACTTCACTTCATAGAGAATGGATTGGTTAGGAACAAAACATATCTTCCAGGTTGAGGACTGTATAGAAAAATAAAACCCATTTTTTGTTATTATGATTTAAATTACATGATACCAGCCCTCTTATAAATGTAATGCAAAAATAATATCTCATATATATATGGATTCCTATACTCTAATCATATTAAATGTCATTTGTATTTTGTTTAAGACAGATTTATTTTAGGATAGACTTTTAAATGATGACATGAATAGCAGGCCATACTTTCAGCACATGACAAAAACATTATCTCAAATTACGCAGAAATGGGTTATTTAGCATAGCTGACATTAAACATATAGGTGAGGGATAACATAATCACAATTATAAACAATGTGAAACAACTTTAAAAGACCTACAAGGTAGATTACAAACCTTTTTCACTGGGGTAAAATCTTTGCCGAGATTCGACAATGGCCGCCTGCAGGCCATACTT